AATTGCCTTGGTGAAGGCGCAACCTTATTTCCTTTATAGCGTAGTAGCCAGCGCCACGTTTTGATTTAGGAAGATGCTGGAATCGTGACCAACAGAGTTCCAGTGTTATTTTTTACATTCACTGACAATCTGTAAGTCAGTGAATAAGCTTTCAGTTTCAGTTTCCATACTTAGTAATTTTCTTTTAGGTATAACTTAAGGAAAATTCTCAAGCAAAGACTGACTCACTGAAAAAGATCCCAAAATAGTAAAAAGGGACATGTACTTTATATGTAACTTTTTCTTACTGTTATTTGATAAGACAACCTTCTTTATGTTGTCTTGTTATCATCAAATAGGGGGAGATTGTTGATCCTCTCTCTCAGTGATTTGATGATAATCCATTTTCACTTATACGAAGTATTTTATGTTTCTGTCTTTTCAGTTCCAGCAATCTTCACTGAACCTGTTCAGTGATCGCTGAAGAACTTGTATTGTAATTCAATCAGCGACAACGATACTTCAAGAAGACAACACTCACACCAAAGAACCTTCAGCTAATGTCCAAGAAAGAAACTGAATATTAGAGATAAGCGAGTACGTGATCTGAAGCGGTACTCAGTGATTACAAGCTTGTCTACACATGTGTGAAGACTACTCAAGCCTCAGCGAATGCTGAAGAGACTTCCATGTCATTCCAGCATTCAGCGATCAAAGGAAGCTTGCCAAGCACGATTGTTGTTGTCTTGTCCTTATGCACACAAAGGACAAAACCATACCCTTTCTAAATGTTAGTACGGTGCAGAGCCGACTAGTCGACTCTATTGTTCACCAACTTTAGGTAAGGATGTCTGTTCATGAATAGTCATTTGTACTATTCACGATTGCAAAGGACAAGCCTTCCTCTTAAGGCTTGACACGCACTCTAACCCTACCATATTGCATTAAATTAGCATTTAATGCATTGGGTATAAATAGAAGTGTTTCTTCTCCATGAAGAGTGCGCGCAACTCACTTTCTAAACCTAATTCTTACTTTGAGCATTTTCGAGCTTAAGTAAAAGAACTTTTCTCTACAGCATTTCTTTTCTCATTTGCTAAGAATCTGTGTGTAATCAAAGATTGTTTAGATATGTTTTCTTATCTTATATTTCCACAAACAGTCTGGTAAAATTTGTATTGATCTTCTCTATCAATATACATTTTAAATTTGAAAATATTGTGTTTGTATTCATACCCCCCACCCTTCTACAATCTGTTTACTAATCTTGTAGACCCTCAAGGGACCAACAACATTCACTGACACTCTATAAGTCAGTAAATAAGCTTTCAGTTTCAGTTTCTATCCTTGTAACTTTTCTTAAATATGACTTACGAAAATTCTTCAAGTAAAAACTAACTCACTGAAAAAGATCTCAAAATAATTAAAAGGGACATGTATTTTATATGTTACTTTTTCTTACTATTAGTTGATAAGACAACTTTCTTTATGTTGTCTTGTTATCATCAAATAKGAGGAGATTTTTGATCCTCTCTCTCAGTGATTTGATGATAATCCCTTTTATCCTATGCGAAGTATTTATGTTTTTGTCTTTTCAGTTTCAACGATCTGCACTGAGTCTGTTCAGTGATCGCTGAAGAACTTGTATTGCAAATCCTATCAGCGACAACGATACTTCAAGAAGACAACACTCACACAAAGAATCATCAGCAAAAGTCGAAGACTGAAACTGAAGATTAGAGACTGGTGAGTACGTGATCTGAAGCGGTATTCAGTGATTATAAGCATGTCTACATATGTGTGAAGACTGCCCAAGCCTCAGCGAATGCTGAAGAGACCTTCAGGTTATTCTAGCATTCAACGATCAAAAGAAGCTTGCTAAGCACGATTGTTGTTGTCTTGTCCTTATACACACAAAGGACAGACTCATACCCTTTCTAAATGTTAGTACGGTACGGAGCCGATTAGTTGACTCTATTACCCACCAACTTTATGAAAGGATGTTTGCTCATGAATAGGCTTTTGTACTATTCACTATAGCAAAGGACAAGCCTTCCCCTTAAGGCTTGACAAGCGTTATAACCCTATCACGTCGCATTAAATGTGCATTTAATGCAACAGGTATAAATAGATGTGTTCTATCTCCATGCAGAGATACTCTAACCTAAACCTTACTCTAAGCTTTCTCGCGCTTAAGTAAAGGAACACACATCTAAGAACAAATACGCTCATCTTCAAGACCAAGTTAGAATCCCTTTCATTGTATTCTAAACAAGTTCTCTCCCATATAGAACTTACTTTCTTCTATTTCTTTAACAGCAAAGCTTTTCTTATTTGCTAAGATTAAGTGTGTAAACTTAAGATTTGTAGATAAGGTTTTTATTAAGTGTGTAAACTTAAGATTTGTAGATAAGGTTTTTCCTTACCTTATCTTTTCGCAAACAGTCTTGTAAAATCTGTATTGATCTTCTCTTATCAATATATATTTTGAATTTGAAAATATTGTGTTTGTATTCATCCCCCCTCCCCCTTCTACAAACTGTTATACACATCTTGTAGACCCTAACGGGAGTAACATTGATCTTCACAAAGATATGCATATAGGGAAACAAATCATATTTTCCCTTTTTCTTTACTATCATTATACTCTGTTGTTCCTGCAATACATATTTGGAACACCAAATGAGGGTTAGACCTGAAGGTCTAGTGAGATCCCTTTTTCCATGTAATTGCAAGGTCAGGATGATCAAGACATTATTTAAAATCAACTTTTCACATAATGGAAGCATAAATCCATAATTCATCAAGACCAGCATCCCTTTGGTTGCAAAGACCATACATAGAAAGATTTTCATCGATTAGTAGGAGCAGAGTCTCTGGCTCAAAACTCATGACCAACCAGAGCCCCTCTGGTTCGTCCTTCTTTGTATAAAAAGTTTCTAAGTTAAAATAATAGTATAAAATCTTATGAATACTTCTTTATAAAACCTAACCTTGGCACATAGCTCCTATCTAATAGATACAGAGCCTCTGGTTTAAGTAAAAGATTTGTAAAAGACTTGTATCATGATCAAACCATCATTTAGAACCCCTCTGGTTCTATTGTGAGGAACAACAGAGTCCTCTGGTTCCTTTCAAGGAACAACCAGAGCCTCTCTAGTTCCTCATAAATCAAACACTATGCCAAAAACATAGTTTATCCAAAATCATTGGCCATACGCCAAGTTTTTCCCTTCTCAATAATATCATTATCTAATAAGAGCAACATTCCTGAATCCTCAAATCACAAAGAAGTAAGAGCTCAAAAATATTGCAATCTTAAGAGACATAATAGCAAAAGCTATAATATTATCCATACATACAAATGCCACCCTTATATCAAAGGTACACCTCTCCTTGATATGCCACTTTTATTTCCTCATCAAAATCTATAGATTAGTTCCAAACGAAGATAGACCAAACTCACAACCGTCTTGAAGGAACATCCTCCATAGTTTTAACTACCAAAATCTATAGATGAATTCCAAACGAAGACAGACCGAAGTTACAACCGTCTTAAAGGAATATCCTCTATAGTTTTTAACCAATAATGGTTCCAAAACAGTTTTATCTCAAAACTTTGAAACTCAAGAACCAACAGTTCTTTAAATATCATTTTCCAAACTCAATATCTCCTCAAATCCTTAAAATAGGATATCATCCACAACTGTTTTAAAGAAGCAAAATCTTCTTTATTTCCCAAAAACAGTTTCCACATCCCAAATTCATAAAACTCAATTTAAAACTGTTAAAAACAATTTTTACCATTCTTCTTTAAATCACTTATCAAAACCACATATTTCAAATAACATCATTTAAAGGGTTTAGTATCAAAAACTCACCTTTATAAGCACAGGTTTGAAAGTTAAATCACACAACAACTTCTAGTAAACACATATTCCTCAAATCTCTTTTAAGCAGAATTTCTTTTCAAAAATACTTCTACCGCCACACACACACACACACACAATTTTCCTTCTTTCCAAGCTCTCTTTCAAAAAGTAAGATAAGACTTATTTTATCTTCTTTATATATTTTAACCAAGGCGGTGTGGGAGTTATTGATATTTAAATCTCTTTTCTTAACCACGAAGGTTGCATACCTTCATATTTAATAATATTTCCTCATGTATGCATATCATCTTACGTGCACACACATATTTTAACATCTTCTCATGCATGCACAGAATCACATTCACACATATATATTTCCCATGCACATTATCACGTATTAACATCTTCTCATGTATGCACAGAATCACATTCACACATATATATTTCCCATGCACATTATCACGTATTCACATATAATCACATAAAGGTTACCTCAACCAATGTTGTTTGAAATCCAGGTTATGACAACTAAGTAGGGTCGAGTTGGTATCCTACTTCCCTCCGACCCATTCGATGACCTGATATTTTAATTAATATACTATATTTTTTCTTTTAAGTTTTAACTAAACCTAATCTAATTTTCTAATCGACGACGACTCGTCGGACATTCCCAGATTCAATCAACTAAACAAAATCTCATCAAGAACATGAAATCAACAATGACAGAAGTAGAGAGTAAGAAAAAGAATATTCTTCGAAGCTTAATAATACTCCATTTAAAAAACAATTATAACTAGATAATCGAGTTCATTCATAGAAAAGAGATTTAATTAATATACATGAAAGACAACCTTAAAACGGAAAGGAAAATGGAAAACATTTTACAAGTCGATCCAAAAATAAGGAGGATACCGTAGAAATGGAGAAACAAGCGATTACAGCCGCATCCGAAGAGGTTTCCCACGAGTTCAAAACCCTAATTCATCAACAGGATTTGGATTCTTTGAAGCAATTACAGCACATTATGTAACGCTCCTTTTCTTTTTCTTTCCTTTCTATGCAGAATCATATGTCTATGTTTATCTTAATTCTTGCCTTTATCTATGCGAGTTGATATTTGTTAGAAAATTGGTCGTTTTGTATTTCTCAAGTCTATGATCAACATTGTGGTATATGGGATTCTTGAATCTAAGAGATGGGTATTGTTTTTAACAATTAGATGTCCCATCTTCAACCAGTTGAGGGTGTTTGCCTTGTTGATGCTTAAAGATTATTGTCCAATGAGGATAATCCATAATTTTGGGCATATGCATACTGATGCCAATTCTTTATTTCTTTACTTTGTGGATCCCATCTTTGTGTGGTTTTTTTTTTACTTGATGTGGTGAGAAACAAAGGGGGGAATCGGAAAATGATGAAAACAAATGGATTTCAAATACATGTTTGGTAAGACAACTGATCTTCTGTTAATTTATATGTCGTGTTTGTGACATAATTGCAGATTGGGGCGTCTGCAGGACAGTAATGCAGTTCTTTCTCATTTTAATGACTATTCAGAGAATTGTTTTGCTGAGGTGTCCAGTGATCTTTCTAAAAACACACGCCTCTTAAAGTCCATGAAATCGGACCTTGATTATATATTTCTAAAGCTCAGGTTGGTTGGCTTGCACTCTGTCAGTTGTGTTTGCGTTGATTTTGCTGGAATTCCTTTTGCTTTATTGCATAATAAGTGTTCTGTGATGCTTTGCATGGATGTGTCAAGTTTTAAATCTGTAAAATCAAGCTTAGGGGTTTAAGTTTAGGCCAGGAAACATGATGCTTAAGTCAAATGAAATACATATCTTAGAGCAAAGGGAGCATATAAATGTGTTTCTTGATGTTTTCATGTGCATAATAACTTTGGCTTTCATAAAGATATGGGTACAGATAGTTATGAAATCCCTTAAGTAATTATTTGAGGTCCACAGAAAATTATAGATAAGTAAATTAAGCACAGAAATTTCTGAAAGACTAGACTTCACTTTCTTTTTTCGTGGTCCATAACTATTTGAATTCTATTCCTTAACTTGTGTAATGCACGCCCAATCGTTTTTATTTTGTATAGAAAAGGATTTATATCTATACTTCTTTTTGTTTTAATAAATAGTTTCTTTGTTTCTGTAAGATATGGAGGCGGTGGAGAGATTAGGGAAGATTTGATGAAAGAGGCGGGGTAGCGATGCAATGAAACAAATTGAAATCCATGGAATTTGGATTTGAATTCCTAAATCCGTCGGTTGTGGGCAGGGACGTTCCAATCTTTTTGGAGGCACTGCTACATCCAAAACTATTGATTGCATTGCATAAATGAGATAACAGATAATATATGTTAAAGAACAAAAATGAGCTAAACCTAAAACGATTAACAATATGAAACTAAACCTAAACCATTAATGATTTGAACCTAAAACCAAATAATTAATGGTTTGAACCTAAATAATTTCGGCTATAGTTTTACACACGTTGATAAAATACCCTAAACACATGTAAATTTGGCATGGGGTGGGGAGGGGAGGGTGGCTGGGGTGAACCAAAGAAAGGAATTGGAATCTGGTCAAAGGAATTAATCATTCCGTGAACCAAGCAAGCCCTTAGGGGCCGTTTGGTTCGCAGAATTCGAAGGAATTTGATGGAATTGGAATGAYAAATTYCTTTGACCAAATTCCAATTCCTTTGTTTGGTTCATTTCTTGAAATGGATGGAATCCTTCAAATTCCATTGAATTYCACAAGTTAATGAATTCATCATTCCTTGGCATAATGGAATGAATTGAATTCCATCACCACCCACCACGATCATGCTACTATTGTTCATGATGCCCCACCCTTAACCCCCACCACTAATGTCGCTGCCACCCACCCTAACCACTATGCCACTACTGTTGTCATCACACCCACCCACCCTCCGGTCACTCACTGCACATCCCTACTACGACTATGCTACTAACGTTACTGTCACACCCCTAACCTAACCCCCACCACCGCAACATTATTGTCGTCGTCGCAACTGCCACTCACCCTATCGCACCCTACCCTAACCACCACTAGCCACTATGTCACTGCTGTCGTCATCATACCCACCCACTCCCAATCACCCTGACCATCATCCCACCACTATCATCGTCACAGCTGTCATTGATCCCCACCTCCCCGTCCATGCGGCCCTTAACATAACCTTTCACCCCCACACTACTATTGTCGCCTTCACAACCGCCATTCACCCGCACCCCACCCTACCCCAACCCACCACTAAACACCATGCCACTATTATTGTCGTCATACCCACCCACTCCCTGGCCCTAGCCACCCGACTACTATCCCACCACTAGCATCATCACAGCTACCACCCCGCCACCTACCCCTACCCACCCCACCGTTCTGCTTGGCCCCCACCCTATCTTACCCTACTCTAACCCATCACTAACCACCATCCTACTACTGTAGTCATCACAACTATCACACTGCCACCTATTGCCCCACTCTGGCTTCACCCCCACTGCCTCGCCCCACCCCTGCCTGCCCGCAACAATCCCCACCTATGGAGCACGGTAGGGCAGAAGTGGTGGGGGCAGGGCGGGTGATAGTTGTGACGACGATATCAGTGACATGGTGGCTGGTAGGGTGTGAACGGAGCGATGGATGGGATAGTCCATACAAAGATGATTGTTCCAATTCTATTGAGATATTTCATTCCAATTCCTACCAACCAAACGCATGGTCAAATTCCATCAAATTTCATTCCAATTCCTTCAAAGTCAAATTCGTTTGATGGATTCCAATTCCATCAAATTCCATTCTATGAACCAAACACCCCCTTAGTCTTGGCACTTAAATGTTGAATAACCTGTTTCCAGTTGTATGGTTCCATGAATTTTATAGCTTAATAATTTTTACAATATGAAACATTTTCTTTAGTTTTGTAATTTTGTACCATACTAGATATGCCTATTGTTTGAGGGATAGTTTAATTTTGATTACCACTTCCTCACACTCCAACACTCTGATTCTATTTGCAAACCTTGTATTAAGTACCTTTTTCTCAAGCAAGCCAGGGGGAAACAACCGTTCTACTTTTTTTTGGGTAGAGAGGACAGGTTTGCATACATCCTATGGGGGTATATTGGGATTGTTTCATTTGGTTAAAGGCCAGATTTGCAGTGTTCTGAAACAGTCATATGGTTTTGTTTCAGGAGTCTAAAAGCAAAGATCAAAGCTACATATCCTGATGCTTTCCCAGATGACTCAACAATTGAAGCTCTTGATAGAAGGCCAGATCTAGAAATTGCTCAGTAATGAAACTGCATCTACCTTCATTCTTCTAATTGACAAAAAGTTGACTTTCTTTTGACTTTTCCTAATACGGAAGAGGCTCTGTTTTGCCAAAGTATGTAAAGATAAGATATCATAGAAACGATATAACATTTGACAATTACATTCGGACATGTGTACTTTTTTGTTTTACATTGTGAAACAACACATAATTGGTTTGGTTTGGTTTGGTTTGGTGGTTGTTGCGGCTATGAATATTATGTGTACATGTGGAGGATGTTGATTTTTCCTACAAGACAGTGAATGATGGATGATGTTGATTTTTCCTACAAGACAGTGAATGATAGAAGGGGAAATAATCAACTGCCAGACAACTCCTAAATTGTAAATTCAATCACATCTTAATAAGAGAAAAAAACAACATTTTTACTTTCTTTATTTTGACTTTTATATTTCTTCAACAAAAGACCTACTTTTTGAGGACTACTAATTTTCATATTAATATCAAGTTGAAAAATATATGTAAACTTGTTTGGCATATCTGGATTTTCTATAATTGCACAAATCTTGAATAACAATTTAGAAAATAAACAACTTGTTGCTATTTTCGTCCCTCGTTCTTCCTAATCTTCACGTACACAATATGGTTCTGTCTTCCTTGACCATTAATCACCATCGCTACTTCTTGATTCCTCAGTGAATCATAGGTTATTCACTTGTGCAAACGACTACCGTCAACAACAGATTTGCACCAACGAAAACTAGGAAACATAGGAAACGAAAGGCTGAAAGTATTGAGATAGTTTTACTAAAGAAATACAAGGATTAAGATTAGATAAGAGATAAGTTTTTACAGAGCACATACTATATATATATATATATATATATATATATGCAGCGAACAGACACCACCGAACCATCATGATGGTTCGGTTATCACACCCCCAATCGCATACAATGTATCTAGACACTTAACTTCTTATATGCAGTTTAATCTTGATAACCGTTGCATCCCACTACATAATTTAACAATAATAAAACATATTAATCTAATAATATCTAATTAAGACCTTGAATATTTAATTAACCGAATTTATCTTTTAAGGTCCAAATTTTCCCCCCTAAAAGATATATCGGTTAAGTCTTCCAGCTTTGATTCAAATGATGATATAGTTGCTGCCATATGTGTCACCCGAACAATATTTCATAGTACTTGGATCCTCATCTTTACTTTCTTCTTCGACTGGATCTTCCTCATCGCTTCGTTCTTCAGTTTCACTTGTTCCAATTTTGTTACCTTCAAACGTTATCTAAACTTCATTGACTGCTCTGATGTAATCTATACGCCATTTGTTGGTTCCTCCAACATTAATAACATCTTTAGCCAAGTCATAGAAAAATTGAGTTTGCAGCAGATAGAGTTCATACAACACCTTAAAGTTCAGCTTGTAGTCCTCTGGATAGGCGAAGCTCATTGCAACTTCATCCCATGTGCATTCCATAGTTACCGTGTCGTATCCTTCCATGCTATTAATCAACTTATATAACTCGAACAAACGAACTGTCAAACCGGCCAACTTCGGTGGCATTTGTTCTTCCAAGTCCTTTCCCATTAGGACTTTGTGAAACCAAATGATCATCGTATCGAATCTTTTGACAAAAAGGTCTTTGTTCTTGTAGTCTATCTTGACCGTGTTTACCATTTTCAGAAAACGAACAAAGTCATGAAAGGTGTCTACCTTTAGTGACACTAGTTTGCCATCAATCTCGATTCCTTCAGAATCTTCGGTTGAGACGATCTCCATATGATTTGATGGTTGTGGTGTGTCTAGGCTTGCCTTCACGCCTTCAGACTTTCTTGATCTCTTTTCCTTCAACTTGGCACATATGTGTGATGCTACTTTGTGACCCGTTTATCTCGATTTCAAAACCTTGGAGGATTAATTGACTCATGCTTAGGACGTTAATGTTAATTTCCGATACATAAGAAACATAAGGTACCGCATACGTCCTTTCGCTTGTAGTCAATTCAATCTCACCAATTCCATAAATATAAAGAGGATTTGGTTTGCATGCCGTTTCATCAATAACAAAGCATTCTCTCATAACGACAAACAAAATTTTGAACAGTGTCATGTGTTTTGGAATTGTATTGTTTACGTACCATATGCTATTCCATGAACCGTAGTCTGTTCCCGTCACCAAGTAGTCTCCTGAGAGAACGATCCTCTCCCTGTAGACTTGCGTGTAGGGTCCAAGATGTTCGAGTTCTCGTAACACTGGTTTCTGATGTGCTGCCTCAGTCTCGGATTTTCCTGTAACCAATTTTTCATTGGTTTTGCGGTTCCTGGTTTGTGGACAATTCCAGGCGAAATGGCCTTTGTCGCCACACCTGTAACACCTTGGCTTCTTCTTCCTCTCGTCGTGGGTCTCCATCCGATTCTCTTGAAGTTCCAGCGCCTCGATTCTTTTACGGATTTCTTGTATCTTCTTCATGCAGATAAGACTTCGTTTTCTCCTCAGTCTTGATCCTGTTTGATCTCGTCCAGGCCGAGCCCATTGGCTCTGATACCATTGTTGCGATTTTCGTCCCTCGTTCTTCCTAGTCTTCCCGTACACAATATGATTATGTCCTCCTTGAAAATTAATCACCATCGCTACTTCTTGATTCCTCAGTGAATCACAGGTTATTCACTTGTGCAAACGACTACCGTTAACAACGGATTTGCACCAACGAAAACTAGGAAACGTAGGAAACGAAAGGCTGAAAGTATTGAGATAGTTTTACTAAAGAAATTGTATTAAAATTAGATAAGAGATAAGTTTTTATAGAGCACGTACTCTATATATATATATATATATATATATAGGGAAGGGTTCAAACGAGAACCCCTGTGATTTACGAAAATGCGAGAACAACTT